GCTATAGTACCCAAAGCAATCTACAGATTCAATGCAATCCCTATCAAGCTACCAACGGCAGCTTTCAGAGAACTAGAGCAAATAATTTCACAATTTGTATGGAAATGCAAAACACCTCGAATAGCCAAAGGAATCTTGAGAAAGAAGAATGGAACTGGAGGAATCAACCTGCCTGACTTCACACTATACCACAAAGCCACAGTCATCAAGACAGTATGGTACTGGCACAAAGACAGAAATATAGATTAATGGAACAGAACAGAAAGCCCAGAGATAAATCCACGAACCTATGGTCACCTTATCTTCGACAAAGGAGGCAAGGATATACAGTGGAAAAAAAGACAACCTCTTTAACAAGCGGTGCTGGGAAAACTGGTCAGCCACCTGGAAAAGAATGAAACGAGAACACTTTCTAACACCATACACAGAAATAAACTCAAAATGGATTAAAGATCTAAATGTTAAGACCAGAAACCATAAAACTCCTAGAGGAGAACACAGGCAAAACACTCTCCGACATAAATCACAGCAGGATCCCAGAGGATTAGAAACAAAAGTGAAAATTAACAAATGGGACCTAATGAAACTTAAGAGCTTTTGCACGACAAAGAAACTATAAGCGAGGTGAAAGGACAGCCCTCAGATTGGGAGAAAATAACAGCAAACGAAGCAACACACAAAGGATTAATCTCAAACATATACAAGCAACTCCTCCAGCTCAACTCCAGAAAATAAATGACCCAATCAAAAAATGGGCCAAAGAGGTAACCAGACATTTCTCCAAGGAAGACATACAGATGGCTAAAGGACACATGAAAAGATGCTCAACATCACTCATTATCCGAGAAATGCGAATCAAAACCACAATGAGGTACCATTACACGCCAGTCAGGATGGCTGCTATCCAAAAAGTCTACAAGCAATAAATGCTGGAGAGGGTGTGGAGAAAAGGGAACCCTCTTACCCTGTTGGTGGGAATGCAAACTAGTACAGCCACTATGGAAAACAGTGTGGAGATTTCTTAAAAAACTGGAAAAAGAACTGCCCTAAGATCCAGCAATCCCACTTCTGGGCATACACGCCGAGGAAACCAGATCTGAAAGAGACACGTGCACCCCAATGTTCATCGCAGCACCGTTTATAATAGGCAGGACATGGAAGTAACCTAGATGCCCGTCAGCAGACGAATGGATAAGGCAGCTGTGGTACATATACACCATGGAATCTTACTCAGCCATTAAAAAGAATTCATTTGAATCAGTTCTAAAGAGATGGATGAAACTGGAGCCCGTTATACAGACTGAAGTAAGCCAGAAAGATAAAGACCATTACAGGATACTAACACATATACACGGAATTGAGAAAGATGGTAACGATAACCCTATTTGCAAAACAGAAAAAGACACACAGATGTATAGAACAGACTTTTGGACTCTGTGGGAGAAGGCGCGGGTGGGATGTTTCAAGAGAACAGCATCGAAACATGTATATATAATCTAGGGTGAAAGAGATCACCAGCCCAGGTTGGATGCAGGAGACAAGTGCTCGGACCTGGTGCACTGGGAAGAGCCAAAGGGATCGGGTCGAGACGGAGGTGGGAGGGGGGATCGGGATGGGAAATACATGTAAATCCATGGCTAATTCATGTCAATGTATGACAAAAAAATTTGTAAAGTCATTAGCCTCCAACTAATAAAAATAAATGAAAAAAAAAACAGGGATTCATTGAGCTGCATGGGAGATGAATTCTGTCATTAGAAACTTTGCCACCAGGCTTAAGAAATATATTTAGAATTCATTTCTTTCCGGAAACAGGTTTCAAGATCTCCATAAGAAGTCTTTTATTAAGATAAATCACAGCTTTGTCAGTTTCTCCAGAAGTACCCTATTTTTAATTCCCAAGGAGAATGGCAGTAATAAAACTAAATTAACCGAGTAGGTTTTTTTCTCTCTAATGGCCCCTGTCTTGATTAAGAGGATTCCGGTCTACGTATTTCCTGGGCTTCCCTGGTGGCTCAGGTGGTAAAGAATCTGTCTGCAATGCAGGAGACCTGGGTTTCATGCCTGGATTGAGAAGATCGCCTGCAGAAGGGAATGGCCACCTCTTCCAGTATTCTTGCCTAGAGGATTCCACGGACAGAGGAACTGGGAAGGCCACAGTCCATGGAGTCACAAAGAGTCGGACACCGCTGAGCAACTAATACACATATTTTCTTACCATTTGCTTAGCAGAAGCAATCATTCATAGCATTTTATAGCACTTTCTAAAGAACATTTTGTGCCTTTTTTCTCTTTTGTAAGCTGCACCAGGTCTTGGTTGCCACACATGGGATCTTTCATTGTGGCGTGCAAACTCTTCCTTGCAGTGAATGGGATCTAGTTCACTGACCAGAGATTGAACCCAGGCCCCTGCATTGGGAGCAGCCACTGGATCGCCAGGGAAGCCCTCTAAAGAACTCTTAAAGTGAAACTTTTTGGATGTTCGCAGCAGCTCTGGGCAGTCCTAGTGATGATACTTGTTCTGCACTCTTGAGCCCGTGACCTCCCTGAGGGACACAGGGGCCAAGCGAGCAGATGCTACCCCAGCGCCAGAACACAGGGCCAGACTGGCAGTGTAAACTCCCTTCCAGTGATGTCCTCTTTTTACTGTTCCTCTGGTCAATTCAGTACTGTTTTCCTTGGAGCATGTGTTTAAAAGGAAATCCTAGATGTGTTCAAACATTACTGCCCACTTTCAGATGGATTGATATCTACCTAGGACTTGTCTATTAAACCCACCTGCCTGAGTACTGTGACTTGATTGGAGTTTTCTTGAAGTCACTCCTGAAGCACTGTGATGGCTTTGTCTAACATTAATAGATTTTTAAAAATGATATGTGTTGGGGAATGGCTATGAAAAAAGGGGAGAATCTGTTGCTACTGCAAACCAATTAAGGAGGCAACTTAAAAAGGAAATCTGAATTGTAACTATGTTTCTATTCCTATAAAATACTGTCCTTACCTTGCAGTCTGTAGTTGATGTGCCCAGACACAGTAGTGGCTCTCGGGTTGCTCTTCTGCCATCTTCCTGTCTCCTTCAGTCCCTGCATGCGTATAGGAACTTCAGTGAGATAATGGGGCATTTAACAGAGATTGTTCTGTGCAATACTGTATTTAGTGTTTCTATTTTAAAGTTTCTAGGATGCTAATTTACATGCAAATAAAATACATAATAAGAGAGTTCTCTGCCTATTGTGTCTATATGACCTAAAAGTAAATGCAAAATATTTATCCCAGAGGGAAAATAAGTTAGAGCGTCTGTGTTCAAAGATTTTTGGAAGTTCTTATCTCAGGCCGAACCGTTGCTGGTGAACAGTGAAAGTCGCTCTGTCATGTCTGACTCTGCAAACGCATGGACTGTACAGTCCATGGAATTCCCCAGGCCAGAATACTAGAGTGGGTAGCCGTTTCCCTTCTCCAGGGGGTCTTTGCAACCCAGGGATCGAACCCAGGTCTCCTGCACTGCAGGTGGATTCCTCACCAGCTGAGCCACCAGGGAAGCCTGAACAGTTCTTGGCAGTTAAGGATTTAACAAATGCTAGAGTGTAAAGACAAAATAATAATTCTGCTACAGTAAAACACAATTTCTTAAGTGCAAATCTTCTCAATGCAGTTTTAGGGAAGAAGTACTTCCCCCTTATGGAAATATCAGTATGTTAATACCTAAGAAGTCCTTTTACGAAAAGTTGCAAAAATTCATATGATGTAGATTAAATGGTGATAAAAATTGAGTTGATCTCAGTGAGGCAGCAGTGAGTGGTGGCGTGAAGTGAGATCCAATTCGCTGCCCAGGAACTGAACCTGGGTAGCCTGAACGAAAACCAGGAATCCTAGCCACCAGACCAGCAAGGGCTAGAGGCTAGAAGCCAAGTTTCCCTGGATCTTTGACCAGTGAAAAATGCATTCATCATGGAGGCAGAATCGCTACATGCAGGTACAACGTTTATTATCAGAGACACAGCACAGCAACACGTGGGAAAGAACACGGAGGAACAGCTGGTCTAGTTCCGACAGAAGCCAAGCAGAGACACACACCTGGAGAGAAAGGTTATGGGCGCCCCCTGGTGAGAAGGAGCACAATAACCACGAGGTGGTGAAGTCCTTTATATAGGCCAGTTCTTCTGGGTCTTTGTCTTCCTTCCTGCCAAGTTTCTGGTTCCTTTCTTCACATCTGACCTATCCTGGGCCACTGCCCTGGTGTGCACATACCCCTCAGCCAAGATGGATCTCCAAGTGGAGGCTTCTGGGAGAAGCAAGGCTCATCATGGTCTGGCATTTTCGCGGGACTTTTCACCCACAAGGAGCCTCTCTGTGCATGTGTAGTGTTTCCCTTCTCCCACAAGGGGGGTGGGGGGAGGGGAGATCTCTTCATCCTTGACTCAAGCAGGGTTTTGTCCCTCTTTGCCCTTGTCATGGCTACTAAAGTGTTCATAAGAGACAGACACTGGCTATTTACCCTCTTTCTGTTGTTACTTCCATTTCACAGGGCAAGCAGGACACTGACTGTAAAGGCTCAACTGGAGCCCAACCATCTCTTGCCTCAAGAAATGTAAACAGGCTAGATGTAAATGCCTAACCTGGAGTCCATCTGTCTCCTCCAGCAACATTATGGGAAGACAAAAGGCGGAAAATTATGCCAATAAGGCACCACATGATGGTGCAAAAAGATGGATAGAGACAAGGAAAGAAGGAATAAAAACTAAGCATTATGCTAATGGCAACCATTATGCAAGTTAATGGGGAGTGGGGGGGCACCTAATGGAAAACACTTGCTTTTATGCCATAAACCATCTTTGAATTCAGGTTGAATTGGATATTTCACGATAAACTTTTCATCACCTCTGCGTTGGCTTGTCGTCTACTTTGTGCAAAAGCCTGGAGCTCCTAACTACTAGGGGGTCTCCCATCCAAGTACTAACTAACCCTGCTTAGTTTCCCCGATCAGAAGACATCTGGCCCGTTCAGGGTGGTATGATCTTAGATGGAGGCGGTTGCTGCCAGGCACCTTTAAAAACCCTGCGCTGCGCCTCCTTTTCGCTCTGATGTGCCGTGTCGAGCCAGCCGGCCGCACCTTTCCACGGGGCGCGCCGGCCAGGGCCGGCAGCCCGGCCGAAGCCTCCTCGTCCCCGCACACCAGTAACCCTGGCCAGCAAACCTGGCCCGGCCCTGGGACCCAGAGTGTTTCCGGGACCCCGAGCGGCCGGTCGGGCGTGCATGCCTGGGCTTGGGGTTGGGGTGAGGGGCGCGGAGGTCTCGGCGCCCTCCCGCCCTGGGCCTCTCCAGGCCCGCCCCCTGTCGGCGCCCCACCCTGCCCACTCCCTTTTGTGGCTCAGGGCCAGGTGGCCCCGGAGGTGTCTGATTCGGGCCCGCCGCGGACCGCGGCCCTCAGTCCTCTGAGCCTCCCTCGGGCATAGGCGGAGCGCAGCCGGGGCCCTGAGCGCCCATCCTGCCCGGCACCTGCCCGGGGCCCAAACCCAACGGGAGCCACCAGCGCGGTCCACCCGAGTGCCTCAGCCCCGCCCCTTCGCCCTACCTCTGCCCCCCTCCTCGCCCCGCCGCTCGCCAAGCACAGCACCTTCCTGAGGTCCTTAAAATTCTTCCTTCAAGAGTTCTAAGTAAATTTAAGACAGCATCTACTGGATTTTCACCAACGGCTCAAAAAACAAACAAACCAACAGTTACCTTGATCCATCTTGCCTTAATGTGAGCTGTAACAGTAACCTCAGAGCTGCTGCACTCAATGATTTGATTCATTCCGTTGTTGAAAAACAGGGATTCTCAATATTGTCAAAATGGCTATAGTACCCAAAGCAATCTACAGATTCAATGCAATCCCTATCAAGCTACCAACGGCAGCTTTCAGAGAACTAGAGCAAATAATTTCACAATTTGTATGGAAATGCAAAACACCTCGAATAGCCAAAGGAATCTTGAGAAAGAAGAATGGAACTGGAGGAATCAACCTGCCTGACTTCACACTATACCACAAAGCCACAGTCATCAAGACAGTATGGTAGTGGCACAAAGACAGAAATATAGATTAATGGAACAGAACAGAAAGCCCAGAGATAAATCCACGAACCTATGGTCACCTTATCTTCGACAAAGGAGGCAAGGATATACAGTGGAAAAAAAGACAACCTCTTTAACAAGCGGTGCTGGGAAAACTGGTCAGCCACCTGGAAAAGAATGAAACGAGAACACTTTCTAACACCATACCCAGAAATAAACTCAAAATGGATTAAAGATCTAAATGTTAAGACCAGAAACCATAAAACTCCTAGAGGAGAACACAGGCAAAACACTCTCCGACATAAATCACAGCAGGATCCCAGAGGATTAGAAACAAAAGCGAAAATTAACAAATGGGACCTAATGAAACTTAAGAGCTTTTGCACGACAAAGAAACTATAAGCGAGGTGAAAGGACAGCCCTCAGATTGGGAGAAAATAACAGCAAACGAAGCAACACACAAAGGATTAATCTCAAACATATACAAGCAACTCCTCCAGCTCAACTCCAGAAAATAAATGACCCAATCAAAAAATGGGCCAAAGAGCTAACCAGACATTTCTCCAAGGAAGACATACAGATGGCTAAAGGACACAATGAAAAGATGCTCAACATCACTCATTATCCGAGAAATGCGAATCAAAACCACAATGAGGTACCATTACACGCCAGTCAGGATGGCTGCTATCCAAAAAGTCTACAAGCAATAAATGCTGGAGAGGGTGTGGAGAAAAGGGAACCCTCTTACCCTGTTGGTGGGAATGCAAACTAGTACAGCCACTATGGAAAAGAGTGTGGAGATTTCTTAAAAAACTGGAAAAAGAACTGCCCTAAGATCCAGCAATCCCACTTCTGGGCATACACGCCGAGGAAACCAGATCTGAAAGAGACACGTGCACCCCAATGTTCATCGCAGCACCGTTTATAATAGGCAGGACATGGAAGTAACCTAGATGCCCGTCAGCAGACGAATGGATAAGGCAGCTGTGGTACATATACACCATGGAATCTTACTCAGCCATTAAAAAGAATTCATTTGAATCAGTTCTAAAGAGATGGATGAAACTGGAGCCCGTTATACAGACTGAAGTAAGCCAGAAAGATAAAGACCATTACAGGATACTAACACATATACACGGAATTGAGAAAGATGGTAACGATAACCCTATTTGCAAAACAGAAAAAGACACACAGATGTATAGAACAGACTTTTGGACTCTGTGGGAGAAGGCGCGGGTGGGATGTTTCAAGAGAACAGCATCGAAACATGTATATATAATCTAGGGTGAAAGAGATCACCAGCCCAGGTTGGATGCAGGAGACAAGTGCTCGGACCTGGTGCACTGGGAAGAGCCAAAGGGATCGGGTCGAGACGGAGGTGGGAGGGGGGATCGGGATGGGAAATACATGTAAATCCATGGCTAATTCATGTCAATGTATGACAAAAAAATTTGTAAAGTCATTAGCCTCCAACTAATAAAAATAAATGAAAAAAAAACAACAGGGATTCATTGAGCTGCATGGGAGATGAATTCTGTCATTAGAAACTTTGCCACCAGGCTTAAGAAATATATTTAGAACTCATTTCTTTCCGGAAACAGGTTTCAAGATCTCCATAAGAAGTCTTTTATTAAGATAAATCACAGCTTTGTCAGTTTCTCCAGAAGTACCCTATTTTTAATTCCCAAGGAGAATGGCAATAATAAAACTAAATTAACCGAGTAGGTTATTTTCTCTCTAATGGCCCCTGTCTTGATTAAGAGGATTCCGGTCGACGTATTTCCTGGGCTTCTCTGGTGGCTCAGGTGGTAAAGAATCTGTCTGCAATGCAGGAGACCTGGGTTTCATGCCTGGGTTGAGAAGATCGCCTGGAGAAGGGAATGGCCACCTCTTCCAGTATTCTTGCCTAGAGAATTCCACGGACAGAGGAACTGGGAAGGCCACAGTCCATGGAGTCACAAAGAGTCGGACACCGCTGAGCAACTAATACACATATTTTCTTACCATTTGCTTAGCAGAAGCAATCATTCATAGCATTTTATAGCACTTTCTAAAGAACATTTTGTGCCTTTTTTCTCTTTTGTAAGCTGCACCAGGTCTTGGTTGCCACACATGGTATCTTTCATTGTGGCGTGCAAACTCTTCCTTGCAGTGAATGGGATCTAGTTCACTGACCAGAGATTGAACCCAGGCCCCTGCATTGGGAGCAGCCACTGGATCGCCAGGGAAGCCCTCTAAAGAACTCTTAAAGTGAAACTTTTTGGATGTTCGCAGCAGCTCTGGGCAGTCCTAGTGATGATACTTGTTCTGCACTCTTGAGCCCGTGACCTCCCTGAGGGACACAGGGGCCAAGCGAGCAGATGCTACCCCAGCGCCAGACCGCAGGGCCAGACTGGCAGTGTAAACTCCCTTCCAGTGATGTCCTCTTTTTACTGTTCCTCTGGTCAATTCAGTACTGTTTTCCTTGGAGCATGTGTTTAAAAGGAAATCCTAGATGTGTTCAAACATTACTGCCCACTTTCAGATGGATTGATATCTACCTAGGACTTGTCTATTAAACCCACCTGCCTGAGTACTGTGACTTGATTGGAGTTTTCTTGAAGTCACTCCTGAAGCACTGTGATGGCTTTGTCTAACATTAATAGATTTTTAAAAATGATATGTGTTGGGGAATGGCTATGAAAAAAGGGGAGAATCTGTTGCTACTGCAAACCAATTAAGGAGGCAACTTAAAAAGGAAATCTGAATTGTAACTATGTTTCTATTCCTATAAAATACTGTCCTTACCTTGCAGTCTGTAGTTGATGTGCCCAGACACAGTAGTGGCTCTCGGGTTGCTCTTCTGCCATCTTCCTGTCTCCTTCAGTCCCTGCATGCGTATAGGAACTTCAGTGAGATAATGGGGCATTTAACAGAGATTGTTCTGTGCAATACTGTATTTAGTGTTTCTATTTTAAAGTTTCTAGGATGCTAATTTACATGCAAATAAAATACATAATAAGAGAGTTCTCTGCCTATTGTGTCTATATGACCTAAAAGTAAATGCAAAATATTTATCCCAGAGGGAAAATAAGTTAGAGCGTCTGTGTTCAAAGATTTTTGGAAGTTCTTATCTCAGGCCGAACCGTTGCTGGTGAACAGTGAAAGTCGCTCTGTCATGTCTGACTCTGCAAACGCATGGACTGTACAGTCCATGGAATTCCCCAGGCCAGAATACTAGAGTGGGTAGCCGTTTCCCTTCTCCAGGGGGTCTTTGCAACCCAGGGATCGAACCCAGGTCTCCTGCACTGCAGGTGGATTCCTCACCAGCTGAGCCACCAGGGAAGCCTGAACAGTTCTTGGCAGTTAAGGATTTAACAAATGCTAGAGTGTAAAGACAAAATAATAATTCTGCTACAGTAAAACACACTTTCTTAAGTGCAAATCTTCTCAATGCAGTTTTAGGGAAGAAGTACTTCCCCCTTATGGAAATATCAGTATGTTAATACCTAAGAAGTCCTTTTACGAAAAGTTGCAAAAATTCATATGATGTAGATTAAATGGTGATAAAAATTGAGTTGATCTCAGTGAGGCAGCAGTGAGTGGTGGCGTGAAGTGAGATCTAATTCGCTGCCCAGGAACTGAACCTGGGTAGCCTGAACGAAAACCAGGAATCCTAGCCACCAGACCAGCAAGGGCTAGAGGCTAGAAGCCAAGTTTCCCTGGATCTTTGACCAGTGAAAAATGCATTCATCATGGAGGCAGAATCGCTACATGCAGGTACAACGTTTATTATCAGAGACACAGCACAGCAACACGTGGGAAAGAACACGGAGGAACAGCTGGTCTAGTTCCGACAGAAGCCAAGCAGAGACACACACCTGGAGAGAAAGGTTATGGGCGCCCCCTGGTGAGAAGGAGCACAATAACCACGAGGTGGTGAAGTCCTTTATATAGGCCAGTTCTTCTGGGTCTTTGTCTTCCTTCCTGCCAAGTTTCTGGTTCCTTTCTTCACATCTGACCTATCCTGGGCCACTGCCCTGGTGTGCACATACCCCTCAGCCAAGATGGATCTCCAAGTGGAGGCTTCTGGGAGAAGCAAGGCTCATCATGGTCTGGCATTTTCGCGGGACTTTTCACCCACAAGGAGCCTCTCTGCGCATGTGTAGTGTTTCCCTTCTCCCACAAGGGGGGTGGGGGGAGGGGAGATCTCTTCATCCTTGACTCAAGCAGGGTTTTGTCCCTCTTTGCCCTTGTCATGGCTACTAAAGTGTTCATAAGAGACAGACACTGGCTATTTACCCTCTTTCTGTTGTTACTTCCATTTCACAGGGCAAGCAGGACACTGACTGTAAAGGCTCAACTGGAGCCCAACCATCTCTTGCCTCAAGAAATGTAAACAGGCTAGATGTAAATGCCTAACCTGGAGTCCATCTGTCTCCTCCAGCAACATTATGGGAAGACAAAAGGCGGAAAATTATGCCAATAAGGCACCACATGATGGTGCAAAAAGATGGATATAGACAAGGAAAGAAGGAATAAAAACTAAGCATTATGCTAATGGCAACCATTATGCAAGTTAATGGGGAGTGGGGGGGCACCTAATGGAAAACACTTGCTTTTATGCCATAAACCATCTTTGAATTCAGGTTGAATTGGATATTTCACGATAAACTTTTCATCACCTCTGCGTTGGCTTGTCGTCTACTTTGTGCAAAAGCCTGGAGCTCCTAACTACTAGGGGGTCTCCCATCCAAGTACTAACTAACCCTGCTTAGTTTCCCCGATCAGAAGACATCTGGCCCTTTCAGGGTGGTATGATCTTAGATGGAGGCGGTTGCCGCCAGGCACCTTTAAAAACCCTGCGCTGCGCCTCCTTTTCGCTCTGATGTGCCCTGTCGAGCCAGCCGGCCGCACCTTTCCACGGGGCGCGCCGGCCCGGCCGAAGCCTCCCCGTCCCCGCACACCAGTAACCCTGGCCAGCAAACCTGGCCCGGCCCGGGGGCCCAGAGTGTTTCCGGGACCCCGAGCGGCCGGTCAGGCGTGCATGCCTGGGCTTGGGGTTGGGGTGAGGGGCGCGGAGGTCTCGGCGCCCTCCCGCCCTGGGCCTCTCCAGGCCCGCCCCCTGTCGGCGCCCCACCCTGCCCACTCCCTTTCGTGGCTCAGGGCCACGTGGCCCCGGAGGTGTCTGATTCGGGCCCGCCGCGGACCGCGGCCCTCAGTCCTCTGAGCCTCCCTCGGGCATAGGCGGAGCGCAGCCGGGGCCCTGAGCGCCCATCCTGCCCGGCACCTGCCCGGGGCCCAAACCCAACGGGAGCCACCAGCGCGGTCCACCCGAGTGCCTCAGCCCCGCCCCTTCGCCCTACCTCTGCCCCCCTCCTCGCCCCGCCGCTCGCCAAGCACAGCACCTTCCTGAGGTCCTTAAAATTCTTCCTTCAAGAGTTCTAAGTAAATTTAAGACAGCATCTACTGGATTTTCACCAACGGCTCAAAAAACAAACAAACCAACAGTTACCTTGATCCATCTTGCCTTAATGTGAGCTGTAACAGTAACCTCAGAGCTGCTGCACTCAATGATTTGATTCATTCCGTTGTTGAAAAACAGGGATTCTCAATATTGTCAAAATGGCTATAGTACCCAAAGCAATCTACAGATTCAATGCAATCCCTATCAAGCTACCAACGGCAGCTTTCAGAGAACTAGAGCAAATAATTTCACAATTTGTATGGAAATGCAAAACACCTCGAATAGCCAAAGGAATCTTGAGAAAGAAGAATGGAACTGGAGGAATCAACCTGCCTGACTTCACACTATACCACAAAGCCACAGTCATCAAGACAGTATGGTAGTGGCACAAAGACAGAAATATAGATTAATGGAACAGAACAGAAAGCCCAGAGATAAATCCACGAACCTATGGTCACCTTATCTTCGACAAAGGAGGCAAGGATATACAGTGGAAAAAAAGACAACCTCTTTAACAAGCGGTGCTGGGAAAACTGGTCAGCCACCTGGAAAAGAATGAAACGAGAACACTTTCTAACACCATACACAGAAATAAACTCAAAATGGATTAAAGATCTAAATGTTAAGACCAGAAACCATAAAACTCCTAGAGGAGAACACAGGCAAAACACTCTCCGACATAAATCACAGCAGGATCCCAGAGGATTAGAAACAAAAGCGAAAATTAACAAATGGGACCTAATGAAACTTAAGAGCTTTTGCACGACAAAGAAACTATAAGCGAGGTGAAAGGACAGCCCTCAGATTGGGAGAAAATAACAGCAAACGAAGCAACACACAAAGGATTAATCTCAAACATATACAAGCAACTCCTCCAGCTCAACTCCAGAAAATAAATGACCCAATCAAAAAATGGGCCAAAGAGCTAACCAGACATTTCTCCAAGGAAGACATACAGATGGCTAAAGGACACAATGAAAAGATGCTCAACATCACTCATTATCCGAGAAATGCGAATCAAAACCACAATGAGGTACCATTACAAGCCAGTCAGGATGGCTGCTATCCAAAAAGTCTACAAGCAATAAATGCTGGAGAGGGTGTGGAGAAAAGGGAACCCTCTTACCCTGTTGGTGGGAATGCAAACTAGTACAGCCACTATGGAAAAGAGTGTGGAGATTTCTTAAAAAACTGGAAAAAGAACTGCCCTAAGATCCAGCAATCCCACTTCTGGGCATACACGCCGAGGAAACCAGATCTGAAAGAGACACGTGCACCCCAATGTTCATCGCAGCACCGTTTATAATAGGCAGGACATGGAAGTAACCTAGATGCCCGTCAGCAGACGAATGGATAAGGCAGCTGTGGTACATATACACCATGGAATCTTACTCAGCCATTAAAAAGAATTCATTTGAATCAGTTCTAAAGAGATGGATGAAACTGGAGCCCGTTATACAGACTGAAGTAAGCCAGAAAGATAAAGACCATTACAGGATACTAACACATATACACGGAATTGAGAAAGATGGTAACGATAACCCTATTTGCAAAACAGAAAAAGACACACAGATGTATAGAACAGACTTTTGGACTCTGTGGGAGAAGGCGCGGGTGGGATGTTTCAAGAGAACAGCATCGAAACATGTATATATAATCTAGGGTGAAAGAGATCACAAGCCCAGGTTGGATGCAGGAGACAAGTGCTCGGACCTGGTGCACTGGGAAGAGCCAAAGGGATCGGGTCGAGACGGAGGTGGGAGGGGGGATCGGGATGGGAAATACATGTAAATCCATGGCTAATTCATGTCAATGTATGACAAAAAAATTTGTAAAGTCATTAGCCTCCAACTAATAAAAATAAATGAAAAAAAAAAACAACAGGGATTCATTGAGCTGCATGGGAGATGAATTCTGTCATTAGAAACTTTGCCACCAGGCTTAAGAAATATATTTAGAACTCATTTCTTTCCGGAAACAGGTTTCAAGATCTCCATAAGAAGTCTTTTATTAAGATAAATCACAGCTTTGTCAGTTTCTCCAGAAGAACCCTATTTTTAATTCCCAAGGAGAATGGCAGTAATAAAACTAAATTAACTGAGTAGGTTATTTTCTCTCTAATGGCCCCTGTCTTGATTAAGAGGATTCCGGTCTACGTATTTCCTGGGCTTCCCTGGTGGCTCAGGTGGTAAAGAATCTGTCTGCAATGCAGGAGACCTGGGTTTCATGCCTGGGTTGAGAAGATCGCCTGCAGAAGGGAATGGCCACCTCTTCCAGTATTCTTGCCTAGAGAATTCCACGGACAGAGGAACTGGGAAGGCCACAGTCCATGGAGTCACAAAGAGTCGGACACCGCTGAGCAACTAATACACATATTTTCTTACCATTTGCTTAGCAGAAGCAATCATTCATAGCATTTTATAGCACTTTCTAAAGAACATTTTGTGCCTTTTTTCTCTTTTGTAAGCTGCACCAGGTCTTGGTTGCCACACATGGGATCTTTCATTGTGGCGTGCAAACTCTTCCTTGCAGTGAATGGGATCTAGTTCACTGACCAGAGATTGAACCCAGGCCCCTGCATTGGGAGGAGCCACTGGATCGCCAGGGAAGCCCTCTAAAGAACTCTTAAAGTGAAACTTTTTGGATGTTCGCAGCAGCTCTGGGCAGTCCTAGTGATGATACTTGTTCTGCACTCTTGAGCCCGTGACCTCCCTGAGGGACACAGGGGCCAAGCGAGCAGATGCTACCCCAGCGCCAGACCGCAGGGCCAGACTGGCAGTGTAAACTCCCTTCCAGTGATGTCCTCTTTTTACTGTTCCTCTGGTCAATTCAGTACTGTTTTCCTTGGAGCATGTGTTTAAAAGGAAATCCTAGATGTGTTCAAACATTACTGCCCACTTTCAGATGGATTGATATCTACCTAGGACTTGTCTATTAAACCCACCTGCCTGAGTACTGTGACTTGACTGGAGTTTTCTTGAAGTCACTCCTGAAGCACTGTGATGGCTTTGTCTAACATTAATAGATTTTTAAAAATGATATGTGTTGGGGAATGGCTATGAAAAAAGGGGAGAATCTGTTGCTACTGCAAACCAATTAAGGAGGCAACTTAAAAAGGAAATCTGAATTGTAACTATGTTTCTATTCCTATAAAATACTGTCCTTACCTTGCAGTCTGTAGTTGATGTGCCCAGACACAGTAGTGGCTCTCGGGTTGCTCTTCTGCCATCTTCCTGTCTCCTTCAGTCCCTGCATGCGTATAGGAACTTCAGTGAGATAATGGGGCATTTAACAGAGATTGTTCTGTGCAATACTGTATTTAGTGTTTCTATTTTAAAGTTTCTAGGATGCTAATTTACATGCAAATAAAATACATAATAAGAGAGTTCTCTGCCTATTGTGTCTATATGACCTAAAAGTAAATGCAAAATATTTATCCCAGAGGGAAAATAAGTTAGAGCGTCTGTGTTCAAAGATTTTTGAAAGTTCTTATCTCAGGCCGAACCGTTGCTGGTGAACAGTGAAAGTCGCTCTGTCATGTCTGACTCTGCAAACGCATGGACTGTACAGTCCATGGAATTCCCCAGGCCAGAATACTAGAGTGGGTAGCCGTTTCCCTTCTCCAGGGGGTCTTTGCAACCCAGGGATCGAACCCAGGTCTCCTGCACTGCAGGTGGATTCCTCACCAGCTGAGCCACCAGGGAAGCCTGAACAGTTCTTGGCAGTTAAGGATTTAACAAATGCTAGAGTGTAAAGACAAAATAATAATTCTGCTACAGTAAAACACACTTTCTTAAGTGCAAATCTTCTCAATGCAGTTTTAGGGAAGAAGTACTTCCCCCTTATGGAAATATCAGTATGTTAATACCTAAGAAGTCCTTTTACGAAAAGTTGCAAAAATTCATATGATGTAGATTAAATGGTGATAAAAATTGAGTTGATCTCAGTGAGGCAGCAGTGAGTGGTGGCGTGAAGTGAGATCTAATTCGCTGCCCAGGAACTGAACCTGGGTAGCCTGAACGAAAACCAGGAATCCTAGCCACCAGACCAGCAAGGGCTAGAGGCTAGAAGCCAAGTTTCCCTGGATCTTTGACCAGTGAAAAATGCATTCATCATGGAGGCAGAATCGCTACATGCAGGTACAACGTTTATTATCAGAGACACAGCACAGCAACACGTGGGAAAGAACACGGAGGAACAGCTGGTCTAGTTCCGACAGAAGCAAAGCAGAGACACACACCTGGAGAGAAAGGTTATGGGCGCCCCCTGGTGAGAAGGAGCACAATAACCACGAGGTGGTGAATTCCTTTATATAGGCCAGTTCTTCTGGGTCTTTGTCTTCCTTCCTGCCAAGTTTCTGGTTCCTTTCTTCACATCTGACCTATCCTGGGCCTCTGCCCTGGTGTGCACATACCCCTCAGCCAAGATGGATCTCCAAGTGGAGGCTTCTGGGAGAAGCGAGGCTCATCATGGTCTGGCATTTTCGCGGGACTTTTCACCCACAAGGAGCCTCTCTGCGCGGGTGTTGTGTTTCCCTTCTCCCACAAGGGGGGTGGGGGGAGGGGAGATCTCTTCATCCTTGACTCAAGCAGGGTTTTGTCCCTCTTTCCCCTTGTCATGGCTACTAAAGTGTTCATAAGAGACAGACACTGGCTATTTACCCTCTTTCTGTTGTTACTTCCATTTCACAGGGCAAGCAGGACACTGACTGTAAAGGCTCAACTGGAGCCCAACCATCTCTTGCCTCAAGAAATGTAAACAGGCTAGATGTAAATGCCTAACCTGGAGTCCATCTGTCTCCTCCAGCAACATTATGGGAAGACAAAAGGCGGAAAATTATGCCAATAAGGCACCACATGATGGTGCAAAAAGATGGATATAGACAAGGAAAGAAGGAATAAAAACTAAGCATTATGCTAATGGCAACCATTATGCAAGTTAATGGGGGGTGGGGGGGAACCTAATGGAAAACACTTGCTTTTATGCCATAAACCATCTTTGAATTCAGGTTGAATTGGATTTTTCACGATAAACTTTTCATCACCTCTGCGTTGGCTTGTCGTCTACTTTGTGCAAAAGCCTGGAGCTCCTAACTACTAGGGGGTCTCCCATCCAAGTACTAACTAACCCTGCTTAGTTTCCCCGATCAGAAGACATCTGGCCCGTTCAGGGTGGTATGATCTTAGATGGAGGCGGTTGCCGCCAGGCACCTTTAAAAACCCTGCGCTGCGGCTCCTTTTCGCTCTGATGTGCCGTGTCGAGCCAGCCGGCCGCACCTTTCCACGGGGCGCGCCGGCCAGGGCCGGCAGCCCGGCCGAAGGCTCCCCGTCCCCGCACACCAGTAACCCTGGCCAGCAAACCTGGCCCGGCCCGGGGGCCCGGAGTGTTTCCGGGACCCCGAGCGGCCGGTCGGGCGTGCATGCCTGGGCTTGGGGTTGGGGTAAGGGGCGCGGAGGTCTCGGCGCCCTCCCGCCCTGGGCCTCTCCAGGCCCGCCCCCTGTCGGCGCCCCCCCCTGCCCACTCCGGTTCGTGGCTCAGGGCCACGTGGCCCCGGAGGTGTCTGATTCGGGCCCGCCGCGGACCGCGGCCCTCGGTCCTCTGAGCCTCCCTCGGGCATAGGCGGAGCGCAGCCGGGGCCCTGAGCGCCCATCCTGCCCGGCACCTGCCCGGGGCCCAAACCCAACCGGAGCCACCAGCGCGGTCCACCCGAGTGCCTCAGCCCCGCCCCTTCGCCCTACCTCTGCCCCCCTCCTCGCCCCGCCGCTCGCCAAGCACAGCACCTTCCTGAGGTCCTTAAAATTCTTCCTTCAAGAGTTCTAAGTAAATTTAAGACAGCATCTACTGGATTTTCACCAACGGCTCAAAAAACAAACAAACCAACATTTACCTTGATCCATCTTGCCTTAATGTGAGCTGTAACAGTAACCTCAGAGCTGCTGCACTCAATGATTTGATTCATTCCGTTGTTGAAAAACAGGGATTCTCAATATTGTCAAAATGGCTATAGTACCCAAAGCAATCTACAGATTCAATGCAATCCCTATCAAGCTACCAACGGCAGCTTTCAGAGAACTAGAGCAAATAATTTCACAATTTGTATGGAAATGCAAAACACCTCGAATAGCCAAAGGAATCTTGAGAAAGAAGAATGGAACTGGAGGAATCAACCTGCCTGACTTCACACTATACCACAAAGCCACAGTCATCAAGACAGTATGGTAGTGGCACAAAGACAGAAATATAGATTAATGGAACAGAACAGAAAGCCCAGAGATAAATCCACGAACCTATGGTCACCTTATCTTCGACAAAGGAGGCAAGGATATACAGTGGAAAAAAAGACAACCTCTTTAACAAGCGGTGCTGGGAAAACTGGTCAGCCACCTGGAAAAGAATGAAACGAGAACACTTTCTAACACCATACACAGAAATAAACTCAAAATGGATTAAAGATCTAAATGTTAAGACCAGAAACCATAAAACTCCTAGAGGAGAACACAGGCAAAACACTCTCCGACATAAATCACAGCAGGATCCCAGAGGATTAGAAACAAAAGCGAAAATTAACAAATGGGACCTAATGAAACTTAAGAGCTTTTGCACGACAAAGAAACTATAAGCGAGGTGAAAGGACAGCCCTCAGATTGGGAGAAAATAACAGCAAACGAAGCAACACACAAAGGATTAATCTCAAACATATACAAGCAACTCCTCCAGCTCAACTCCAGAAAATAAATGACCCAATCAAAAAATGGGCCAAAGAGCTAACCAGACATTTCTCCAAGGAAGACATACAGATGGCTAAAGGACACAATGAAAAGATGCTCAACATCACTCATTATCCGAGAAATGCGAATCAAAACCACAATGAGGTACCATTACACGCCAGTCAGGATGGCTGCTATCCAAAAAGTCTACAAGCAATAAATGCTGGAGAGGGTGTGGAGAAAAGGGAACCCTCTTACCCTGTTGGTGGGAATGCAAACTAGTACAGCCACTATGGAAAACAGTGTGGAGATTTCTTAAAAAACTGGAAAAAGAACTGCCCTAAGATCCAGCAATCCCACTTCTGGGCATACACGCCGAGGAAACCAGATCTGAAAGAGACACGTGCACCCCAATGTTCATCGCAGCACCGTTTATAATAGGCAGGACATGGAAGTAACCTAGATGCCCGTCAGCAGACGAATGGATAAGGCAGCTGTGGTACATATACACCATGGAATCTTACTCAGCCATTAAAAAGAATTCATTTGAATCAGTTCTAAAGAGATGGATGAAACTGGAGCCCGTTATACAGACTGAAGTAAGCCAGGAAGATAAAGACCATTAGAGGATACTAACACATATACACGGAATTGAGAAAGATGGTAACGATAACCCTATTTGCAAAACAGAAAAAGACACACAGATGTATAGAACAGACTTTTGGACTCTGTGGGAGAAGGCGCGGGTGGGATGTTTCAAGAGAACAGCATCGAAACGTGTATATATAATCTAGGGTGAAAGAGATCACCAGCCCAGGTTGGATGCAGGAGACAAGTGCTCGGACCTGGTGCACTGGGAAGAGCCAAAGGGATCGGGTCGAGACGGAGGTGGGAGGGGGGATCGGGATGGGAAATACATGTAAATCCATGGCTAATTCATGTCAATGTATGACAAAAAAATTTGTAAAGTCATTAGCCTCCAACTAATAAAAATAAATGAAAAAAAAAACAACAGGGATTCATTGAGCTGCATGGGAGATGAATTCTGTCATTAGAAACTTTGCCACCAGGCTTAAGAAATATATTTAGAACTCATTTCTTTCCGGAAACAGGTTTCAAGATCTCCATAAGAAGTCTTTTATTAAGATAAATCACAGCTTTGTCAGTTTCTCCAGAAGAACCCTATTTTTAATTCCCAAGGAGAATGGCAATAATAAAACTAAATTAACCGAGTAGGTTATTTTCTCTCTAATGGCCCCTGTCTTGATTAAGAGGATTCCGGTCTACGTATTTCCTGGGCTTCCCTGGTGGCTCAGGTGGTAAAGAATCTGTCTGCAATGCAGGAGACCTGGGTTTCATGCCTGGGTTGAGAAGATCGCCTGCAGAAGGGAATGGCCACCTCTTCCAGTATTCTTGCCTAGAGAATTCCACGGACAGAGGAACTGGGAAGGCCACAGTCCATGGAGTCACAAAGAGTCGGACACCGCTGAGCAACTAATACACATATTTTCTTACCATTTGCTTAGCAGAAGCAATCATTCATAGCATTTTATAGCACTTTCTAAAGAACATTTTGTGCCTTTTTTCTCTTTTGTAAGCTGCACCAGGTCTTGGTTGCCACACATGGGATCTTTCATTGTGGCGTGCAAACTCTTCCTTGCAGTGAATGGGATCTAGTTCACTGACCAGAGATTGAACCCAGGCCCCTGCATTGGGAGGAGCCACTGGATCGCCAGGGAAGCCCTCTAAAGAACTCTTAAAGTGAAACTTTTTGGATGTTCGCAGCAGCTCTGGGCAGTCCTAGTGATGATACTTGTTCTGCACTCTTGAGCCCGTGACCTCCCTGAGGGACACAGGGGCCAAGCGAGCAGATGCTACCCCAGCGCCAGACCACAGGGCCAGACTGGCAGTGTAAACTCCCTTCCAGTGATGTCCTCTTTTTACTGTTCCTCTGGTCAATTCAGTACTGTTTTCCTTGGAGCATGTGTTTAAAAGGAAATCCTAGATGTGTTCAAACATTACTGCCCACTTTCAGATGGATTGATATCTACCTAGGACTTGTCTATTAAACCCACCTGCCTGAGTACTGTGACTTGACTGGAGTTTTCTTGAAGTCACTCCTGAAGCACTGTGATGGCTTTGTCTAACATTAATAGATTTTTAAAAATGATATGTGTTGGGGAATGGCTATGAAAAAAGGGGAGAATCTGTTGCTACTGCAAACCAATTAAGGAGGCAACTTAAAAAGGAAATCTGAATTGTAACTATGTTTCTATTCCTATAAAATACTGTCCTTACCTTGCAGTCTGTAGTTGATGTGCCCAGACACAGTAGTGGCTCTCGGGTTGCTCTTCTGCCATCTTCCTGTCTCCTTCAGTCCCTGCATGCATATAGGAACTTCAGTGAGATAATGGGGCATTTAACAGAGATTGTTCTGTGCAATACTGTATTTAGTGTTTCTATTTTAAAGTTTCTAGGATGCTAATTTACATGCAAATAAAATACATAATAAGAGAGTTCTCTGCCTATTGTGTCTATATGACCTAAAAGTAAATGCAAAATATTTATCCCAGAGGGAAAATAAGTTAGAGCGTCTGTGTTCAAAGATTTTTGAAAGTTCTTATCTCAGGCCGAACCGTTGCTGGTGAACAGTGAAAGTCGCTCTGTCATGTCTGACTCTGCAAACGCATGGACTGTACAGTCCATGGAATTCCCCAGGCCAGAATACTAGAGTGGGTAGCCGTTTCCCTTCTCCAGGGGGTCTTTGCAACCCAGGGATCGAACCCAGGTCTCCTGCACTGCAGGTGGATTCCTCACCAGCTGAGCCACCAGGGAAGCCTGAACAGTTCTTGGCAGTTAAGGATTTAACAAATGCTAGAGTGTAAAGACAAAATAATAATTCTGCTACAGTAAAACACACTTTCTTAAGTGCAAATCTTCTCAATGCAGTTTTAGGGAAGAAGTACTTCCCCCTTATGGAAATATCACTATGTTAATACCTAAGAAGTCCTTTTACGAAAAGTTGCAAAAATTCATATGATGTAGATTAAATGGTGATAAAAATTGAGTTGATCTCAGTGAGGCAGCAGTGAGTGGTGGCGTGAAGTGAGATCTAATTCGCTGCCCAGGAACTGAACCTGGGTAGCCTGAACGAAAACCAGGAATCCTAGCCACCAGACCAGCAAGGGCTAGAGGCTAGAAGCCAAGTTTCCCTGGATCTTTGACCAGTGAAAAATGCATTCATCATGGAGGCAGAATCGCTACATGCAGGTACAACGTTTATTATCAGAGACACAGCACAGCAACACGTGGGAAAGAACACGGAGGAACAGCTGGTCTAGTTCCGACAGAAGCAAAGCAGAGACACACACCTGGAGAGAAAGGTTATGGGCGCCCCCTGGTGAGAAGGAGCACAATAACCACGAGGTGGTGAAGTCCTTTATATAGGCCAGTTCTTCTGGGTCTTTGTCTTCCTTCCTGCCAAGTTTCTGGTTCCTTTCTTCACATCTGACCTATCCTGGGCCTCTGCCCTGGTGTGCACATACCCCTCAGCCAAGATGGATCTCCAAGTGGAGGCTTCTGGGAGAAGCAAGGCTCATCATGGTCTGGCATTTTCGCGGGAATTTTCACCCACAAGGAGCCTCTCTGCGCATGTGTTGTGTTTCCCTTCTCCCACAAGGGGGGTGGGGGGAGGGGAGATCTCTTCATCCTTGACTCAAGCAGGGTTTTGTCCCTCTTTGCCCTTGTCATGGCTACTAAAGTGTTCATAAGAGACAGACACTGGCTATTTACCCTCTTTCTGTTGTTACTTCCATTTCACAGGGCAAGCAGGACACTGACTGTAAAGGCTCAACTGGAGCCCAACCATCTCTTGCCTCAAGAAATGTAAACAGGCTAGATGTAAATGCCTAACCTGGAGTCCATCTGTCTCCTCCAGCAACAT